AGTTTTTCATATCGATGTGATGAACGTCATATCAAATTTTCAAAACTTAAAAAACATGTTTTGGACAAACTGACAAACAGAATTAAATTTTCATTTTGGGAAGACGAAGAAAATCTTATTTTGGCTATAACTTTTGAACTGAGCGTCGGATTTTGACAAATGACCCCTCATTCGACGGGTATGTTTAAAAGGAATACAACTAAAACATTGCGAGGGGGCATTTATCCCCACCGGCCCCAACAGCTCCAAATTTCGAAATTTTCACTTTTTCACTTTCACCGCTCTCTCTCCCAAGCCAATTGATTTTCTTAAAGTCTTGGTATGCAATCCTTTAAGTTTTTGCAATACCTTTCGATTGGTGTATTACTCATTACGATCGGACTATCACAGCAGATTTTCAATTTTGCGGCTATATAATAGTAGTCGCTTCAAAACTGAGAGACTAGTATGCATAGAAACGGACAGACAGACGGACGGACAGATGACTCGTCTAGTGATGCTGATCAAGAATATATTTACTTTATGGGGTCGGAAACGTTTCCTTCACTGCGTTTCAAACTTCTGACTGAAATCATAATACCCTCTGCACGGGAATAAAAATCTAGAATTTTTGCTTGTACATTTCCCATTTAAAAACGAATTTCTCTGCCATTTTCCCTTTTGCAAACAATTACTTGACAAACTGTATATTGCCTCGGACAGATTAAACTAAGTTTAAAACAGCGGACGGCAGCCTCCTATTAAGTGAGTATAGGGTATTGTTCTGACCATCCTCTCCCTCTCTCGTATACTGTACTGCACACACACTCTGATGATCTGCCCAGTGCAATTTACTCATACAAATATTAAACAAAATATAATTGTATGTGTGTGCCGACCGCTGTTTAAAAATAAAACTAAATCATCACAAAACAAGAAAGGAAGCTACCTTCGGCCAGCCGAAGCTCATATACCCTTGCAGATAGAGTAATGCTCACTCGGTGCAGTTCCAGGGATTCCAGATTCATCGTTTCTATTTAAATTTTATTTTTAAGTAGTCAAGAATCAAAACGCCTACTTCCTACAAAGTTACAATGAATTTTCTTATATTTGTTTGAATATTCCTATGGAAGCCTTAAGATATAGTGGTCTGATACGGCTCGCTCCGACATATGTACTACCTGCAATAGAAAGAATGCGTCAATTTTGATTTCGCAGAAAAAAATTTTTTAATAAAATTTTTAGTACTCGAAAAATACACTTTTTGGAAAAATTGTTACTGTATGCAGAAAAAAGCAAATATTCTTGAAAATAATTGTTCACGAACTCGGCAAAATCATTACGAATAATTTAAAAAAAAATGAAGAAGTTCGATCAAATAGTTCGTGTGCAATCGTGGTCACCGCAAGCCGCTATAAAAAAAAGGGTTCCGAGAGAATTGCCATAACTTTGTAAATTATTCATATATTTTCAAGATCAAACGCTTGTTGTTTCGATAAAAACATGTACTATCAATTAATAATAACTTCAGCTTCATAAAATAACACAGGCCGACAAAATGTGACATGGGTCGGTGTCCAGGCCTGCCACCATTTTATTTCGATAAATGAGGCTTTTCTAAGCATAAGTTGCCACTACGCCTATAGTCCATCAGCTCTGGTATTTGCGGTATCTTTAATTTAAGAAAATCACAAATTTTCTTCGTCTTTTGGGATATATCTTCAAGAGTGGTCAACCAATTTTGGTAATCTTTTCGGAATGAAATAGTTACATGTCTCTTTTATACGGTCGTTTTGGAAAATTCAATCTAACTGAACCACAAGAGAAGGTGGGCGCATTTAAATATTTAAAGTCACAGCTATGTTTAAAAATCTTCATTTGTGAACAGCGTTTAAAAATTAAATAAAAATATTTTCTTCTACAATGCATTTTTGATCCAAAGACACCTTATGTCCCTAATTTTTAGGACACTTATCAGGTTTTTGTGTATTGTTTTGGAATTTTTAAAATTGTTTTTCTTACTTCCTTCACAGTGACAATTCACAAACAGTGCCTGTCACAATTTTAAATATCATAATTCTAAACGATCTAAGTAGTTTTGCTTTGAGTGTAAGCACTACTAATCTTTGGGGGCTGAAATGCTTGAAATGTAATCGCCCTCCAGCTTTTAGCTTACGCCCATGTATAAATATTTTTAAAGCAAGGGTCACTTGTGCTCAAAAATAGTTATGAGTTACGTAAAATAGTGACAGGTTTGGGCACTGTTTGTGAATCGTCACTGTGAAGGAAGTAAGAAAAACAATTTTAAAAATTCCAAAACAATACACAAAAACCTGATGAGTGTCCCAAAAATTAGGGACATAAGGTGTCTTTGGATCAAAAATGCATTGTAGAAGAAAATATTTTTATTTAATTTTTAAACGCTGTTCACAAATGAAGATTTTTAAACTTTGCTGTGACTTTAAAATTTTAAATGCGCCCACCTTCTCTTGTGGTTCAGTTAGATTGAATTTTCCAAAACGACCGTATAAAAGAGACATGTAACTATTTCATTCCGAAAAGATTACCAAAATTGGTTGACCACTCTTGAAGATATATCCCAAAAGACGAAGAAAATTTGTGATTTTCTTAAATTAAAGATACCGCAAATACCAGAGCTGATGGACTATAGGCGTAGTGGCAACTTATGCTTAGAAAAGCCTCATTTATCGAAATAAAATGGTGGCAGGCCTGGACACCGACCCATGTCACATTTTGTCGGCCTGTGTAATTGCTACACACCTGAAAAAAAATCCAAAGTTCCCTCAATTTTTTTCGCTCAAAAAGGTATATAACCATTTAATGCACTTTCAGATCAACAAAAGAAACATTAAAAAATAATTTTTTAAATATTTTTTATCCTTTAAAATGTGAAGGTAATTTGGAATTATGCCGTCACTAACATCTTGATTTGGCCTTTCTCGCCTCTATTGTAATATTAAAATGTATCCCGGAACCTTATTATAATGTCCAGAACAATAGACTTGACTTCTCCGACCAATCCAGTGAATTTCCGTACAGTTTTTAGTTCGAAATTGAGTTTTCCAATCAACTGACGAAGTTTCACAGAAATTGACTTTCCTTGGCGCCATTTCAACTTTTTTTTGCAGTGTAGTGATGGTTTCTTCTCTTAATCTCTACTACAAAGTAATCTCAATGCCAAAAACCCCAAGTTTGCAGCAAGTTCCATAAAAAATAACCGTATTCAGCGAGTGTCCGATTACACTATGCAGCATCAAAAATTAACCTCGATGAATGCTATATTTTTGGATTCGTTACGAATTCCCAAGTTAAACTACGTTTTCCAAAGAGTTCCCCGACGCAAGGATTCTTAGCAAAAGGACCTCAAAGTTCGAAAAATGCTGAAATTGACCAACTTTGCGGAGCTCTCAGAGGCAAATGGATGCATGGCTTGGTTCGAAGTTAAAGTTTTTTAAAAGATACACCCTTTATCTTTCAAACCCCATACATAAAATAATTTTAGGATTTTTTTTAAGGCAGAAATATTTTCCAAAAAACATAGTCAAAAAACTGAAAAACATACAGCTGCGGTCAAAATAGTAGCAGTGTTGCCGCCTTGTGTTTTTAAAAGTTTGATGTTGTAATTTTTTCTTATCCAATTAGTCTAATAGTAAAATTATAATCAATACAATATTATCAGGAAAAGATCAATTACAACAACAAACTTTGAAAATCCACAGGGCGGCAACACTACTACCATTTTGACCGCAGCTGTATACTTTTATGTTTTTTGACTATGTTTTCTAGAATTTGTTTCTGCCTTAAAAAAAATCTTAAAAATTTTTAAAGTATGGGGTTTAAAAGATAAAGAGTGTATCTTTTAAAAAACTTTAACATCGAATCAAACCATGCATTCATTTGCCTCTGAGAGCTCCGCAAAGTTGGCCAATTTCAGCATTTTTCGAACTTTGAGGTCCTTTTGCTAAGAATCCTTGCGTCGGGGAACTTTTTGGAAAACGCAGTTTAACTTGGGAATTCGTAACGAATCCAAAAATATAGCATCCATCGAGGTAAATCTAAAAAGCACTAAAAATGCTGCACAGTGTTATTCGTTGAACCTTAAAAATCTGATTTTTTTGTTGTTTTTGTTGGAAAACTATGTGTTTTCGTTGAAAATATGTAATTTTTGTTTATGTTTTTGGAAGATATTAGCATTATGTATAAGTAAAGGCAAAAAAAAAGAATAATTTAACCCATTTTATTCATTTTTTTTGCATGTTTATTTTATGAAAGTAGGTGTCCGATTATGCGATGGAGCCACTGTATATTCTTGATCAGCACCAATGGCCGAGTCGATCTAGCCATGTCCGTCTGTCCGTTTGACCGTCGGACCGTCTGTCTGTTTCTACGCAAACTAGTCTATCAGTTTTAAAGCTATCGCGATGAAACTTTCCCGAAAGTCTTCTTTCTATTGCAGGTAGTACATACATATGTCGGAGCGAGCCGGATCGGACCACTATTTCTTAAGGCTCCCATAGGAATATTCAAACAAATATAAGAAAATTCACTGTAACTTTGAAGGTAGTAGGCGTTTTAATTCTTGACAACTTAAAAACAAAATTTAAATAATAGGCACGCTGAATCTGGAATTCCTGGAACTGCACAGAGTGAGCATTAAACTATAGGTGTTTGATTTATCTGCAAGGGTATATAAGCTTCGGCTGGCCAAAGCTAGCTTCCTTTCTTGATTTTTCTTAAATATATTTTATATTTATTTATTTCGATATATTTTCGACACCCTAGTTCGAACAACAGAACGGTATCGATTTCGATTAATTGTGGTTTTACTTTCGATGTATCTAATGCGATGGAAACTCTTATCGATGTGGTGAAGAAGAGACGTGGCAGCTATTTCGAGTTTCCACCATGGCCCTGTTCGCTATTGCCGTCTCCCTCTAGCACATGGATCTACAAGCCCTGCGCTGCGCCCATCTCTATCGGCAACGTTTATGCTGGTGAGTTTGCAGTTTTTTCAACGGCAAGTGTATTCTCGGTCAAGTTTTATTTTGCTCTGTGATTTTAGACATTTCCAAGCAGAAGTTTTTAAAATTTCCGCTCTAATCCGTGTGCATTTGATTCACGTAGTTGGTGCGTATGTGTTTTCAGCCGAAATGAGGGTTGTATGCAAAGAAAGTAGTACTATTGTTTGATCTAAGAACATCAGCATAAATGTGGGAGATGTCGGTGTGTTCGTATTGGTGTGGTCAATAAACTACACACGCACACTGAAGCAGAGCTCGCGGCTGTGGGGAATAGTGGAGGACTAGTATTGGAAGTCGACCGAACTTATCGACGGCGCTTTGTTTAATGCATTTGCGTTGTACATTTATATTTTTCATATTTAATGCTATTTTGGTTGATTTTGAATGGTAGAATTGTCTAAAAGCGGAGCAATTGTCGACTTCGCCCCACCGAAAACAGTGCATTGTGCTTATCGACTATCGGACGAGTCTGCTATCGATACCCTTTTCCCCATTATCTTTCTCTTCGCAATTCGGTGTGTGGTGTGTTTGGCAGCAGAGAAAATCCAATCAAAGAAAATCCTACGAAAAAGCCTAATTAATCGGTAACGTGTAATGTGTCCTGAACAAATCTCATTGTAGTTGATAGATGCCCGTGTAATTTGGAACAAGACTCTGTGTTTTTCGAGGAAAGAGGGGACGTCGGCCGACGCATTTCACCAACCTAGAAAAAAAGCGTACGTCACCCACACAGACGCAGGCAACCACGTATAAAGTTCAAAGTAGTCGGATCCCGATCCAAGTTCAAATCAAAAGTGGGCTTAGTCGCGTAATGCTTGGACCAGGATTTCTGGGCCTGATAAATAGTCATAGTCCAGTTGTGACGTCGGCGGCCTGGAGCTCATTTTTGAGCTGGAATTGAAGGCATATGCAGGGCCCGGTCCCCTCAGCGCAGTTGGCAACCCTGGCGCCTGCGGGTGTGTGTGTGTGCGGGGTGTCTTAGTGTTAGTGGGTTCGCCCCGCTTCCCGCAACTTGAAATTAAAAGCTGCTACGTGTAGTTTTCGATTTCGGCTGCTTCCAGCTCAACTATCGTCAACTGGCCCCAGCATCTTTTCCAGAACACAGGGCCGCTTTATCTGCGCATTATCGTGAGAGACCTCTGGAGTTTAAGTTTTACTTAGTCCCGATATTCCGTATGTTTCGTTGGCAACACTTTGCTTTGCGTGGGCGGGGGCGTACTTCTCGGTTCCTTCATTAAACCGTAAATTGCATTGCATATTCAAACCTGCTCGATTGCAGGGCTCACAAGGCGTCAGCGATGACTCACCGCAGAGTTCGGGAATCTTGCTCCGCCCAGTAGATTTACTGAAAACTGCGAGTTACCTGGGCCCGGGCTCCATCTTTTACGCACTTTGCAGGCCGCACGTTTCTTGAATACGCGGGGGGAAGTGGGCGGTGGGTGGCTGAAGTTGGGAGGGAGGCACCGAGCGCCGACGGAGCCGTCATCGTGCTATACTGAAAATCGATATCTTATCAGCGGCAGCCGCTAGCTGGTCGCACACTAAGAGCCAGCGAGTTGTTCCTACATCCCTCGCTTATTAATCAGTGTGCAATTAATTACATAAACAACTTTCTTTAGTCTGACACATTTGCGAACATGCGGAAAACAGCTCTATTACAGTAAAAGAAACGAAATTTCGTTAGCGGTTCGCTTAGTCTCTTCCGGTTTTCATTATGACTCAGTTGGGGCTGATACCAACACGTCAGAGCGATCGGGCAACACAAAGCCATTCAAACGTCACACAAGCTTTGCTTCTCCCGTCGTTTGAGATAGTTCCAATTGCCAGGCATAATGATCGAATGTAACTCTGGATTCTATATCCCTCTTTGCAGATTCTCCCAGTCCAAGCACACAAGTCCGCAGTTTGCATATTGTGATCGGTATTGCAACTCGGATTTGAACTTGTCATAATTCCAGCCAGCAAGCAGCGAGCAGGCCAACCAGAGATTCGACTTTCCACAATTCCTACTGAGCATTCGAAAGACAAACACCAGCCATGGGAAACGTATTCGCAAACCTGTTCAAAGGCCTCTTCGGTAAAAAGGAAATGAGGATACTGATGGTCGGTTTGGATGCCGCTGGTAAAACCACAATTCTGTACAAACTCAAATTAGGCGAAATTGTTACAACGATACCTACCATTGGTGAGTGATTTGGCGCCCCTAATGCTGACTTTCCGTCTATAATGTTTCCATTTTCCCTAGGTTTCAATGTGGAGACTGTAGAATACAAGAATATTAGCTTTACAGTGTGGGATGTGGGCGGCCAAGACAAAATTCGTCCCCTGTGGAGGCATTACTTCCAGAATACACAAGTAAGTGTGATTCCAACTGCTCCCAGATTCCAGGCGATTCTAGATGATGTTAACAACTTGTAATGAATCTTCTGTGATTATTCAAAGTTCATTTTGTTTCAAGACGGGACTGATGCTCTATCAGCGACCCCAAAGTTCTTTGCCCCAAGGCACGGCAATTTGAGTAATGATTTCTTACCTTCTTGCAGGGTCTTATCTTCGTTGTGGACAGCAATGATCGAGAGCGTATCGGGGAGGCGAGAGAGGAGTTGATGCGCATGCTGGCGGAGGACGAGTTGAGGGATGCAGTCCTACTAATCTTCGCCAACAAACAGGTAGGTTCCACCACAAAGTTTGCCCTTATCAGCATTCGTATTTGGCTTAACTTACGAATTGTCTTAATCCGCATGTTGGGACTCTTCTAATGCGCCGCTCTCTTGCCTCAAAACCTTTTAGGATCTGCCAAATGCAATGAACGCGGCCGAAATCACCGACAAGCTCGGCTTGCACTCACTCAGAAACCGCAACTGGTATATCCAGGCGACGTGTGCAACCAGCGGCGATGGGCTCTACGAGGGACTCGACTGGCTGTCCAACCAATTGAAGAACGCTAATCGCTAATTAAACACACTACAACTAAAGCAACAATATGAATACAACTAACTCTGATTTCAAGCAAGCCGGAGCAGTAACCAGAACCACAGAAAGAGCGGCTGAAGAACATCAAACAGACGGTAAATGGTGGAAATCGACATCAGAAGGAATTATCACAAAACAGCAGCGGCAACAAAACCAACAACAAGAGCAGCAGATCTTCGCATAACTTAATGGGCTCCTTCTGTCCGTATTTCCAAACAGCAACTGAATTTGTTTATTGAATTGCAAAAACATAACCTTTCAAGCAGCATATAAAGAACGCTATAATTTAATTTAAATTCTTATACATAATTATTGGATGTTTAAAAGCAAAACGAGTAAAAGAGAACCCCAACCAATCACAAGAGAAAGGAAAACTATAGTATATGGTATAAAAATGTCTTTTTTAAGTTATTTTTGTCCTCTCCCTCCCCTCATCAATATATATTTCTTTTTAATTTTATAAATATAAAAGTAATATTAATGAGAAAAAAACTGTAATTGTAATTGCTCTTTAAAAATACAACAAAAACCATTTTAATTTTTAACCCTTTCGTTTCTTGTTGTCGCTTGGCCATGCAAAATCCATAAAAACTCACGCATACACATAAGACCATATTTAAAAGGAAAGTACTATTTAAAAGGTAATTCGAAATAAAATTAAATATTAATGGAAACATCTGTCCAGCTGAAGATTTTTGCAATGCGTTTCAAAAAGTCCGCGTGGTATCGACTCTGTATATCGATACTGGATTGCCATTCACCACAATGTGCCGATCGAAATTTCACAGCACTGCACTATAGTCGGAATCCAACGCTTACCAACACTTGGAAATTTTCGGAAAAAATTGTCATTTAATTCTGTTAATTAGAAAGATATTTAATAAAAGAAAAGCGCAGCATGTCGGCCAAGCAAAATTCAAAGAAGTTCAAGTGGGCGCTCGACTTTAACGTGAGGTAGTAGCGATTGCCCAGCGCATTGGACCCTTGTCACCCCATTTGCTTTTTCCTCTACAGCAAAAACGCTGATATTCCCTCGCCACTGGGCTACAATCCTTCTGCCCTGGTGAACCAGAGCGAGGTGGTGCGCGACCAGCGCCTGGTCATCAAAAAATCCTGGGACCTCGCCCTGGGACCCCTGAAGAACGTGAGTACTAACCCACTTGGAAGACCCCGGGGATAACCTTTGGATTCCCGCAGATACCCATGAACCTGTTCATCATGTACATGTCGGGCAACTCGATATCTATTTTCCCCATCATGATGGTCGGCATGATGCTGATCCGGCCCATCAAGGCCATCTTCACAACGCAGGTTACTTCTAAGATGGCCGAGGGCGCCCAGGGAACTGGACAGCGCATCGTATACTTCCTGGGCAACCTGGCCAACGTGGCCCTGGCCCTCTACAAGTGCCACAGCATGGGGTTGCTGCCCACTCATGCCTCTGACTGGCTGGCTTTTGTCCAGCCTCAGACCCGACTGGAATACTACGGCGGTGGCGTGTCCTTCGTCTAGTTTTACACATGTAGCATTGCTTTATTTGATCATAGATAAATTTCTTTAAACTCAAAATTATGACCTATTGCACGGGTCAGTCGTCCAGTATCTTCTTGGCCTCCTTTTTAATGTCGTCCACTAGTTTCTCGCCGGGCGACCTGTGAAGGGAGTTAATTCCGATTGGATTTAGTTTAAAAATTATGAGAACATATTCAATATGCAATTATGCTATAGCCTTTTTATGATGTTTTGGTCATACTTGTCTTAATATAAGAAAAGTATCGATCTATAATTTTTGATTGTTCATTAACAAATTGGTGCCATCATATATAAGTATCTTGTTTGTCGGAACTTGGCTTTAATCTGTCTTATTTTCGTGAAGCGAAAGGTTTTGGGCTCCCCAATGGCCTCAGTTAGAGTAATTCGCTTAGCCAGCAAGCATCCTCAAGTCCGAGATCATGTCTGCGTTCCAAATTTCAATTTACGCAGCCATAATAACTGACTTTAAGAAACCTCGAAATCAGATTAGCCACAAAATGAGCTGACTGAGTATTCGATATTGATCAACTTTTATACAATTTAAATTACAAAAGGTCGCCCTAGAGATTTATTTGAATTTAGTGACGGTTACGCTTTCCATATACAAAACTACCAAGGGTGTTACTTGTTCTTGCTTTGGTCCACCAGTTCCTTCACTTTTTCGTTGAGACGCTGGATCAACTTTTGCGGATCGTCTACGCGGGGAACCTAAAGGGAGCGCAAGTTTTAGAAGGATCCACTGATCTGGAGGAGCATACTTACTTCATAGTTTTGCGAGACGTAAATGCCCGTGTAAACCCCGGCGCCAAAGGTTAACTGTAAGAAAGCAAAAGAAGAATGTTAGAGTGGCTGGCGGAGTAGGAGTAGGGTCGTTCAATTTAGTGGAGCCAGGTTCGGATTGAACGCATGCTGACCGTGGAGAAGCACAGCACCCTTTTGAAGGTCCAAAATCGCTTCTTTGGGCAGCATGGCAGAGGTTCCTGTATTTCCGGGGGGGAACAGGTATTCGCCGAGCGGCTCTGGCCGCTGGTTTTTAGCCTCAATACTCGCGCCCCAAGTCCTAACAGTTTCATTTTGGCTTCCAGAAAACCCAGTATAACCGATTAATTTTGGGAGGTTCGTTTTGATTTTCAAAGAGTCTGGATCTGAGTACCCCAGCTGTGTGTGTTTGGGCTGACATGAATCCTAAGGAGAAGTTGATTGTTTGTTTTGCTTTATATAAGAGTGTATTGGGCCTTATATAACCTTGAATATCATGTCGCATATCTAAGCAAAAAGTTTGTTTGTCGAGTTCATCTAGCCAACCCCGCACACTGGGCAAAACAACAAAGAATTCATCAAAAATCAAATGTACGAAATTAAGACGATTGATTGGACTACAAAATGATAATTTTATTTTATTATTCTGTGTCAAGAATATTTATAGTGATTAATTTTTGACACGGTAGAAACTTCTTTATTTTTAATGATTTTTTATATTTTCATGCTAACTGCCCTTTCTAATCACATTTTCGGTTGTAGGTTTCTCCCACTTTTGGGTGTGCACTCAGAGGATTTAATTACAAGTTTTTATTTTCCTTCACAAGATAACACATTTGGCCCACAGTGCAGAGGCGCGTCATCGCTGCAAAAAGCATACCGTCAACAGCTGAGGCGGTGTTTCATCTGCATAAGTTTAGATATTTTGCGGATTGGCATTAATTGTAGGTGCCAGGATGAACAGAAGCTTAATCCGCCGAGAAACTTACCAAAAACTTGAGCATGGTCGAATAGTTGAAGGAGCCTTTGTCGCCTGCAACCGCCAGTGTGAAAAAAAGTGAGAACGTGCAAAAGAAACGTCAAAACGGCGCGAGAGAGCGCGGCACTTCGGCTGTTGGTGGGAGCGGGGTGGAGAGAGAGGAGACCGTGACAGCAGCTGACTGGCCCACTGAGATTCTCTCTGCTGTGATTATCTAATCGCGGCTGACTCTGATAATGCGTCTGCAGTTAACTACTCTTCGAGCACTGGACTTAAACTTCAGTAATGTATTTCACAGTTTGTTTTGGTCACCGACTGCGAACTCTGCGGAGAAACCTAACTGACACGACAGCAGTACGAGTGAAAGCGGAACGCTAAAAGGCCAAAAATAAAACCTGTTCGTGGTTGCCACTGTCTTCTCTAATACATTTATTTACCTATGCTATGGTTTTGCCCTTCTGCACTGTTTCTTTTTTTTGATTTTGCCGCCAAAGACTTGTACGTTGTCCAACACTGCCTCTGAGCAGTCAGGCCTCAGAAACTCGAACCGCAATCTAAATTTTTCGTTATTTTTAACAAAACAGTAGTGTTTAATGTATTGGGCATATTTAAAGTAGACTTACAAAATTGGAATCAATTTCTTCCTAATTAGAAGACTTTGTAATTTGTTTTTTCCTTAGGTTTGTGCTAAGGGAGTTTGACTGTAAATAAAAGAATCTCATTTTATGGACGAATAGCGATTTAATGGTACTTCTAAAGCTATGTGTGTTAACAACGAATCAATTGCACTTTCCGCGGACCCTTAACTAGAACTTATGGCGAAGGCTCTACTCGATCAGGCCAAGACCGCCGGGCGGGTTTTCAGGTAAACGAAAAGTACCAGGAAGACCGCCAGAACGCCCACCGCCGGCAGCACCACGGTCCGGATTTTGGCCTGGCTCTCCAGGTTGTCCAGCTTGCGCTCCTTCTTCTGCTTGCGCGTCTCCTTCACCTTTCCCTTCAGTTGGCGCATCTTAAACTTTTGCAATTGTTGTTAGGAACTTCTTAAACCTGCTGACGTGTTGGGTTCCACGAAGTGCGTGTGCGTGAAACAACAAATCAGCCTTTTCTGATGCTCAACAAGTTGTTTTTGGGCCAAAGAAGAAGAAGAGTCGAACTGTTTTCTAGAAGGCAGCACTTGACAGGCTACACTTTTTCATTTTCCAACATGGGATGGCAGCAGTATTGAACAGTTCCGGACGGACTTTAGAAAAGTATGGCGCGCATTTCAAAATAATAAAAATTAAATTTTTTAAAAACTAATATTTTTCAACCATTATATTTATTTAATTATAATGAATTAATTATTATTACTCATGGGTTGTGTTCTTTTAGTTGAGTTTTATTTTTAGATATACATTTGTATCATTATTGTACTGTCAAAATATTATAAAATTTGACATCTTAATTTAAATTAAAAATTTTTTAGTTGAAAGTTTATTTAATTAAAGTAAATGTTTGGTGAAGGAGAAAAAGAGCTATTCTGCCACGACATAGGATTTAGTCTTACCGTGTGGGCCAGCTTTGCTGTCGGCTTTAAGTGCGCGCCGCCCACACGAGCGTTGGCACGGCGCTGTGCACGAACCTAACCCATATTTTCCTTTAATTAGCCTGCCCTGCCGCCCCGTTAAGCCCTTTAACTGTGCCCCGCGGCCGCAGACATCAGATACGCCACCAACTGTTGCACCTTCACCTCTAAATGCGATTTCGAAAATGTTTGAGCAGTTCCCAATGCCGTCAGGGGTCGGGTCTCTGCCGCTGCCGACTGGTCAGTCACTGCTTGGGCTTCTGCCGCGATTGCCTTCTGTACATTCCGGCTGCTGGACGCTTGATGAAGCAATAATAGTGCAGAACGCTGGCCGGGAACCGTGGCCAATCAGGCGGGACGCACTGCCTAGTTTGTGCATCGGTAATGAAGCCTCGCAGCCCGCCGCGCATTTCGGCATCTAATTTCGCCTATTGCCATAAACGGCAACCCGATCAGTTTGGACACGGATTATTGGCAACTATTTAGTCGGGCCCCAAAAAGGCCCAGAGCTGCCAGCCCGACCGAGTCCTCTCGTCAGATTGGCCTCGATGCGCACGCGGCTGTCCGAAAGTCATGTTCCCGGCCAGGCCCAATCTGAGTTTCCTGGTTCTGCATAGCGCTAACATGACTCTCGGCCTGTTCGTTAGCCGGCTGGCCAACTATGTGTGTTGTCGTTGATTGGCCAGGCCGCCGTCCGTCCGCCCGGTCCGCCTGTCCGTCCTTGGGGCCGGGAGTCCATCTCTTAGCTAAACTCCTTGTTTTGATTGCCAAGTCGTAAAATGATGGATTACCGAGTTGGGATTTATTTCTTGTTACGGTCATAATAGATTATCTTTGCTCACTCATTGTCAGAGCTGCTGCGCTTCCACCAACTGCCCCCCAAGACCCCTTGAAACTGCTCGTTAGGTTCCGACGGGCGGACACAGCCTACCGTTTGGGAAGCAGCTTTCGTTGTCGTCGGAAGATTTGGCACGTTGATGGAGCATGCCTAATCACATGGCTTACGATCGCGAGATGCGAATGAGCAGGCGCGCAATTAAACGCAGATGTGTACCTCAGGTAAGTTTTTTCGACGGTCACAATAGGCTTTTTTAGAAAAGAACCTAGAAAGGTAGATAGTGTTTAGTTTTAAATGGAAATCCACATTTATAAAATGGTAAAATAAAATGTTCAAAGGGTATATTTTATTCTTCGGAAACTATGTGACAGGGAGATGGAAGCACTCGACTATAACGTTCTCTCTTGTTATACCCGTTAATCGTAGAGTAAATCAGTATATTGCATTCGTGAAAAAGTATGTAACAGGTAAAAGAAAGCGTTTCCGACCCTTCGAAGTATACATATATATTCTTGATCAGGATCACTAGCCGAGTCGATCTTGCCATGCTCGTCTGTCCACCTGTCTGTCTTTCTATGTGTCTGTCCGTATGGACGCAGAGATCTCGGAAACTGCAAAAGCTAATAAGTTGTTTGTTTCAGCCGAGCGCCACGCCCACTCGAACGCCTAAACGACCTTTGTCGTGTGTCTGGTGCCCACATCTTTAAAGATATCGGAAAAGTATAAATTCCGTTTTTTGTGTTTATTAATACTTATCGGAAGTAGAAGAAATTTTTCAAATCGAACCATTGATTAAAAAGTTATGAGCAAATAATGGAATTCAAGCAGTGCAAGCAGTCGCTGTGCTGCTTGCTTATCTCTATTTCTCTCGCACTCCTTGATCTGAGTAACGGGTACTGGATAGTCAAGGCACTCGACTATACCGTTCTCTCTTGTTTTCAAATAAATTTTAGTTACTGTTGCACGCGACATGTCGCACGTGACATGTTTTTGGGGGTCTAAAAGAAATATTGTGCCAACATTTTTTTATATTTAATACTATATATTTAAGGACCTTAAAATAAATATTTTTTACTGTTTTTTTTTGTAGTTAACAATAACAAAAATACAAGAACTAGTTATTAAAACAATTAAAAGTAAGGAATTTAAAAAAACATCTACCAAGCACCCATAAAAACTGGGAAGTCCAAACATCTTGTTTTTACATATACATTACACAGGCCGACAAAATGTGACATGGGTCGATGTCCAGGCCTGCCACCATTTTATTTCGATAAATGAGGCTTTTCTAAGCATAAGTTGCCACTACGCCTATAGTCCATCAGCTCTGGTATTTAAGAAAATCACAAATTTTCTTCGGCTTTTGGGATATATGTATCTTCAAGAGTGGTTAACCAATTTTGGTAATCTTTTCGGAATTAAATAGTTACATGTCTCTTTTATACGGTCGTTTTGGAAAATTCAATCTAAGTCAACCACAAGAGGAGGTGGGCGCATTCAAAATTTTAAAGTCACAGCAAAGTTTAAAAATCTTCATTTGTGAACAGCGTTTAAGAATTAAATAAAAATATTTTCTTTTTATTACTGTTTAGGATACTCATCAGGTTTTTGTGAATTGTTTTGGAATTTTTAAAATTGTTTTTCTTACTACCTTCACAGTGACGATACACAAACAGTGCCCAAGCCTGTCACTACCCTTCAGTTCTGGCGTCCCATATCGGGGACAATTCCTTAGGCCAAACGCTCGGCCGCTGTCGACGTCAGCAGAGCAGTCGGTATTTATATATTGCGCTCTCTTTCCTTGTCTTATAATTTGTTGTTGTACTAGAGGAATAAGCGGAACTCCCATACAATTTTCTCTATGTGGCGTCCTCGGTGCGTCCTCGAGTACAGATGACCTGTCCTCGGGTTTTCCTTTGGTGATTAATGAGGGAAAAGTGACATCTGGTACTGAAGGGTATTTTACGTAACGCATAACTATTTTTGAGCACAAGTAACCCTTGCCCTAAAAATATTTATACATGGGCGTAAGTTAAAAGCTGGAGGGGGATTACACTTCAGGCATTTCAGCCCCCAATGATTAGAAGCCTACGCTCATGTGCTTATATTCAAAGCAAAACAAGAGAGAACGTTATAGTCGGGTGCCCCGACTATCAGATACCCGTTACTCAGGTAAAGGGAGTGCGAGGGAGATGGAGATATAGATTGAAAACTTTGATCACGCATAACTTTTTAACGAATGGTCCGATTTGAAAAATTTTTTCTACATTTCGATAGGTATTGATAAACACAATAAAACTGCATTTTTACTTTTCCAAAATATTAAAGCGTGGCACCATTTTGAAACAAACTTGCGCTGCGTAGGAACTCCTAAAATCTGCATGCAAAATGCCAATCTTCTAGCTTTTATAGTTTCCGAGATCTCAGCGTTCATACAGACAGACAGACAGACAGACGGACAGACGGACAGACGGACAGACGGACATGGCTAGATCGACTCGGCTAGTGATCCTGATCAAGAATATATATACTTTATGGGGTCGGAAACGCTTCCTTCTCCCTGTTACATACCTTTGCACGAATACAATATACCCTTTTACTCTACGAGTAACGGGTATAACTACTTAGATCGTCTAGAAATATGTTATCTAAGTTTGTAGCAATTTCTCATATTCAAATATTTAATTAAGAGCAGTTAAGCAGTTAACATAAGATCTAGCCAAAGTAGGCGGCGTAGTACGGGGGCGGGGCTACATAGGCGGCTTGCTGTGGAGTAGCGATGAATTTGCCGAAGGCTGTTGGACGGACGAATCCTACGGCTCCAGCCGGATAGTATGCAATAGTGGGAGTCCCTGGGACCGGCGGCACTGGAGCGGGAAGTATGCGTGGCACAGGAGCAGGCTGGGGCTGTGTCGTTTCCACCTCCTCGGCGGCGTCGTCGAGATCCTCCTGGGTCTCGCTGTTGGCCACCAGGCGAGCGGGTTTCGGCTGGACCGCTGGCAAGCTAAACTGTCTAGCTGGCTTGAAGCCGGCCGCCGGGTAAGACGCCTCCCTTTGCTGCTGGGGGCGCAGACGCTGCGTGGCCACGCCCACATCCGCCCCCACCAGACTGAGCAGAAGGAGTCCGGCGACAAGGCAGAAAACCGTAGAGCTGAGTGCCATTGCGATGACTATGTGCCGCTGGGGCGGCGGGCACGGAATTTATACGATCTGCTCAAGTCTCGGGCGGTGTGCCCCCCAAAAACATATTTGACATTGACCCCAAAAGCGAAACAAAAGCCGAAGCTCGAATCAATCACCTGATGCACCTGACGAGCAGTGCAATCGTCGCACATCAATATGCAGGCAATGTTCTAATGCTCGCCTGGTCGTGGTCGCCATTTGATTTGGTCATTTTCCAGTGGTCAGTGGTCAGTGGCCAGCTGATTATGCAGATCGCGGTAGCAGCAGTTTAGTCACGTCCGCGTCCGACACCGTAAATTAAGCCATCTGCGCCGGCGTGGCGCACTCGGGAGTGCGAGGGATTCGGGCATCTGACATAATGGCTGCCCACTGATCGACCCTGTGCTCCGTGCGGGCTCCCCCTGGAAAATTGTTTTAGATCGCGTGGTCTGGCCCGCGAGGCACTTGGTCATTTGTCCGGATCGCCGCTCGCTAATCAATACAAAGCGCTTTCATTTGGTCCCCTGCCAGGAGGACACTCCCCCGGACCAAGTCGCATAAATTCGCCATAAGTTAGGCGCTCCTCCAGCGAACGGCGATGAGAAATGCTCCATAAATCCCCGCGAAATGGCCGCCACTGGCTGCCCGAGTTGTCTAGCCCAATATTTACAGCAATTTCAATAAAAATGCAGCAGCTAATTGATGTAATTAATTTATTAAATTACATTTGCCACTTTTTTGTCGCCGCTTGCCTGCCTGCCTGCCGGTTTTCTCCTTCTCCATTGCCATTGCCATCTCCATCTGTATCCCCGTTCCCTTTCCCGTTCCCGTCCCGACTCAATGGGAGGCATCCACAAACGGACAGAAGTCGGTAGTTGGCAGTCAGTTTATGGGCCAGAGAAACTGCGTTTGGGCCGAGAAAGAGAGAGATGTGTCGTCATTAGCATGTGCTGGCAGTCTGCGGATGAAAATCGACTGGCGCAACGGGGGCAACTGTACTGCGGTTCGATTAGCTTCAGCCATTGTTAATTGGCGAAACTCGCCGCCCATCTGCAACCCGAAATTGGTTTTCCAGAGCATTGTTCGTGCGTCACTCCGGCCAGAATGGCTGAGTAATTGCGGCGAATTCTAATCTGGCTCGCATGGACCCAGCTTCCAGCTTCCAGCTTCCAGCATCCAGCTATCCGGGCTCATTTGCACAATCGAGGCTGCCGCCCAAGTCTGCGTCTCTTCTGGGAACTCCAGCGGAGTCCGCATGCATTCGAAAACTGGCCGTCATATTTCAAGCGTCCACGCATGCGTCGTTGCCCCAGCTTCAGCTTCAGCTTCGGATTCAGATTCAGCCTTCTGCTCATCCCCATCTCGATCTCCATCTCCATCTCCATCTCCATTCCGATTTGTGTGGATGCTGGAGCTCTGAATTGATGCGCCCGGTGCACTCACAATTAATATTCGGCCGGCCAAAGAGACTGTAGTTGGTAGCTGGAAGCCCGGCCAGAGATTTCTCTAATGCCCGCCCGGTTTCCAGGCGCTATCACTTGATTTATTTTCTCTTTTAGTGTCTTTTATTTTATGATTTATGCAGAGCCACCAGTCGGGCAGAGCTCTTGGGGCGTAATATTATGCCCCGTACTGTAGTGCCCTGGGCTGGAGGTGATCATCCCATCGCTGGCCGACCGCAATTGTGCTGCTCGTCACGTTCCACGCCGTCGACGATCTGCTGACTCAGGATCCCCAGCTGCCGCGAGCGGACGAGTGGAAAAGTGGACAAGTGGCAGAAATAGACAAAGGCGGCGTTAACGACAATTGCGCACTAATTATCGCCTCATGCGATGCACCAGCGGGGACTGGGACTGAGAAAGGCATTCCTGGCGGGCGTGAATTGAATTCCCTGCATCATGGCCACGACGATGCTGATGGTGATGGTGATGAATAGCCTGCTCGAGGATTGCCACCTGCCCGGTGTTCGATGGTCACTGGTAACTACTTCATTTAGAAGCGAATAGCTCCGCACTCGAGCGGGCCGGGTCGCGGTTTGATTTATGGCGCTGGATATTAAAGCTGCACACACTTCTGCGTGAGTTGCAGGAATGTGGCCCGCTCATTAGCCGGACAATGCGTCGGTATTTGGGTTAGGTCCAGGGAGTTATTGTCCATCATGATTACTAACGACGACGACCAACGCGGAAGCGCTGGGCTTTGGAAAATTGCTGGTAATAATCTAGAAGCGGGGACTCACCCCCGCGATTTCCTTATTTCTCCATGAGTCTCCTCTTCTAGGGAATTATTTATTTTGTATTTTGTATTTGGATCCATCCACGAACCCATCCGGCAAGCATTCAAAATCGCTGACAAATAATGCCAGTGCAGCGTTGGGGAAGATCTCGAGTGCCAGAACTCAAACTATACGTATATGGCCTGGTGTAAAGTGTCAGTTATCGCCACTGACAACTGTCAGTGCAGAAGACCACACAAGTCTTAGTTCCGATCCCGATCCCGATCCCGATCACCAATAGAGGACTCGTCTTCTAAAACAAGCTTGAAACACGCAGCTTTTCAATTAGCTCACATGCAACGGGCGGTTGGAATTCGAAGGTACATGCGATAATTCTTAAATTGCTTTGCCCATGTTTCACATTTGTACGTGGCTCGATAGCTGCGCTTCTCAACGCGCCTGGGCTCCAGGAGCGAGTTGATCCAATGCAAATGAGCTGCCATTTCGATTTACCAACCACTGGTGTGATTTTCCTGGGGAGCTGCTGAGCGAGCGAGTGGGCCAGCGGTAATTAGCCACTTTACACCGGTAATTGCCAGGAGATCAATGGAGCGTTGACTTGGCCACGTGTCCTCAGCCGGCGGCGTGTTAGCTCAAGTGTGCCACCGTTCTTGGTGGCTTGTGTTTGTCACTTGAGACCCAGGGCAGGACTCGGCGCGCCATTGTCACCGCCTGGCGGGCCTTCTTTTCGGTGGGTGCCATCTCATTTGCATTTTGCTTTTGCGGTTACAAGAGGGCGCGGATCTGCTTGGTGTGGATTGCCGTTGTTCTTTTCAGCTCCTGGTGCCACTTTAAATGTAATTTTATTACTGTCAATGGCCAAGAAATGTCATAATGTATGATTTTAATGAACATACAACATTGTAATGAACATTAAAATGTTAATATAATAAAAACGATTCATAAACATTCCTAAGTCTAGCAAAATAACTTTAAGTTCGAGGTTTTCGCAGAAATAGCTCGGAGCTGAGTTCGGAAAAAATAAATTTCATACATAAATTAGACTCTTCCCGAAATCAACGCTCAGTAATTTCTAAAATGCGCTCTTGATTTTAGCCAAACAAACTGCGATAAATAAAAACGATTTTTCTTCTAAATTTTGCTGTCAATTTAATTGCATGCAAAATATTTCTCTAACTTTCCACAAAAAAATTTCTCTTCCTTGTTGGTTTTACCGGAATGAATTGGCAAGTTCATGACACCACGTGGGCAACACAGAAACATTTGGCGACAACCCGCCACAACATCGGGTTTTGGCTTATGTTGGTGCTGCTGCAAGTGGCAACCAGTTGCTGCTGCGGCCGATATCCAATTTCAATTTCGGTGGGCCATTCAAAACCAAATACATTTTAAAGAAAACCTCTTTAAGAGTCACCACGTTGAAAACTAAATATCTACGCCCGGAGTACCGAAATTTGTTTTTTTTTTTTATTATAAAATTGGTTTACATCGTAACTGAATCTAATGTTCGAAGTAGTAATTAGAATGTATAATAGATAGTTAAAACGGTGGTTTAGTAGATAAACCGAAATAATGGCAATACATTCTCGCGGACAATATTTGGACGATTAAATATCTTAAGAGTACCCACCGAAAATAAATTCAATAATATAATTTATAAAGTTTCAATTCATCACCCCACTACGAGCGCATCATTTTAACGGTTTGTACTTATTGATTGACCAACTAAATTCGGTTGGAATTAAACCGCACATCAGTACAAATTGAATTGATTTCTGTGTCAATCCGGTTTCAGATGGACCGAAGAATATACAATAATCTATATTATCTTTGGTTCCAAAGTACGCAGACAAACAAGAATGGCAAGGGACAATGCGAACGCTTGTCCAGAGAAATAATCTTTAGAAAGGCCCGACCTTTTTTGAGAATACTGAAGAGGGGCCAAGTCAGCTTCATTCAAAAGGAACTACACAGGAAAAAACGGCTTCTTATAATCATTTAGTTAAGAAAGTGTTTCCGAAATTTTAACACAATATTTTGTATACCTTACTACAGACATAATACCCTTTGGAAATAATGAATAAAGGAGACAGACATATATTTAACAATATTATATTCCAAATATTATTTGTAGCTACGAAGCGAATTAATACTACGTTTAAGTGAGCAACAACCAAATTCACTTATAAGATGCCACGTTAAAGTAACTTCTGTTGTCGGTAGCTCCTCCGTCGAAACAGTTTAAGATACAACATTTCTGAAAGATGGTTTATTTAACCAACAAAAATATCTTTTTTTTGTGAGCAAAATCTTCTCAAGAGAAAACTTTAAATTAATTATGAACGATCATAAACACTGTGTTACAAAATTAATGCTTTTTAAATTTAGCTCGATGGATGCTATATTTTTCAATTCGTTACGAATTCACAAGTAAGGGCTAGTAGCACACTTCTGATCTTTATTTGTTTTTATTTTTAAGAAATTAAAAACTTTTTTTTTTAGAAATTTTATTTTGAAAGAAGAGGTTTTAGAGGAATTAATGCAAAAGACATGAAGTCAATCGGATTCATAAACCTGGAGATACAGATTTTCAATGAAAGGGTACTTTTTCAAATTTGACGATTTTTGGCAAACTTAAAAGAATTCTAACTAAAAAAATAATTTTTTTTCGGTCAAGTCCTGATACACGTGTTTACTTATTTTCCGAATAGTACGTGTAAAAAAAGTTTCAGGCAAATCAAAAATGTGACCCAATAAAAGGTGTTCGGTTTGTAAAAGAACTTCCCATGTACAAAGGAAAATTATCCCTTGAGGACTTTTACCAATTTGCTTAAAAGTATACATTATAAAATTGATGACAAATAAACAGAACTTTCAAGTGTTTCCCACGTATTTTGTCTATTTTATAGATAAACTCGTGGAACAGCACTTCGGCTTGTCGAAGCTAACATTCTTTTTTGTTTGACTTTAAGTGTAGCATGGTATAACAGCGTTTTTTAGCGAATATCTCATAAACTTTTTAGTAAATGGTCCGATTCATTTTAAAAATTGTTTTGTAATTGTAACTTAAAGAACTCCAATGATTCAAATAATCTGGGGGAATTTTTCCATACATACAACAATCGACCCAAGGGATTCGTATGTTTTATTTTTTCACTAAGGTGAGATCTTTGATTTCTTAATACGGATAATGATCCTGATCAAGAGTAGAGTCGGAAACGCTTTCTTCTATTTGATAAAAACGAGTGTAATTTAATCTTACTTTACGAGTATCGGGTATTAAAAAGCAAGAATGTTGTTTAGATGGAGAAAAGTATTGGTAGTTTACGTTTTTAAGGCCCTACAAGCGCATTTGAAAAAAGATATTTCCTTTATGAAGGATGGGATATAGGTTACACCTCAACAAAGACTGTTGCAGGCCACATAAGAACAGCAAAGAGAAATGCGAAACGTTTTCATCAAAGCGAGCCATCACTTGGGACGGTAAGAGGTTGGCTGCAAGTGGCACTTATCATGCATGCGCCAAGTATGAAGAAGAAACAGCAGCGCAGCAAACGCAGTGAATTTAATGGACTGTAATTACGCCTTGCAGTTGCACTGGGAGCTGAAGTTGCTTGTCTGTTGTATTCTATAGAAAATTAAGACCTAAATTTGCCTGTGCAAAATTTACGACGTGTTTACGATGCCTCAAATTATTGGTTGCGCTAATGCGTTACAGAAACGCGAAGTTAATTTCCGCTTTCTGTGCTCTCGGACTGGTTATCACGATCTCAGCCACGGCCACGGCCCTATCTTACTATTATGCAAGAAAGGCAGGAGGCATTGTGTCAACTTTCAGAGCAAAAGTTTTCTAGTCTAGAATATAAGCAAGAGTATAGTTCAAATTCGCAGTGATCGTTTTCAACATATCCAAGCGTAAATTTGTGGTGAAATGGACTTAAAACGTGAATTGCCCACCGATGATGCCTCTATGGAGCTGGAGGGGGCCGATCCCTGGGATTGTGTGACGTCCGACAGTCTAATCACCCTGAAGCGGAGTTGGAGCGAAGAGACGATGAGACCATCATTGGGCGAGGTGACTGCTCCATCCGAACTCAGCTCGGACGACATCCACCTTGGCCTACTAGTAGAGGTCAGTACGGGCACTTGGCGCGACTGGTAATAATAAGTCCGACCCCACAGAAGGGTTTGATCGAGTACGACTCGCTGGACCAGCCCTCCGACGAGAACGAGACGGGGGACTATCCGAAGCTTTTGTCCAGGACGGCAGATCGAGGGGGTATTGCTGAAATAGTCAGGGAAATGCGAAACGAGTTCATGGACAAGTTGACCTCCAAGGCTAAGAGCTTCAAGGAAATTCTAATTAAGGTAGGAGGGTGTTCGTATGTCAACCAACATTATTATTTTGTTCTACACTACTAGAAAGGCATGATGGAGCCGAAGGAAGACAGCCCCGTTCATCATGATCATAAATCCGATGTTAAGGATAAAGCTATGACTGAAAATGAGCCTACGGCCCCTGAAGTTACAAAAATTGCAGACGCTCCCGATAAGACAACCATAAGACAAGACGTGGCCCATCGAAATGATGAGATCACCCAGCTCATCAGCGAAATCAATCAATTCACTTCCGGGATGGAGAGAGATCCTGACAGCGCGGACTGGGCCCATTTCCGCGCCAACCTGCTAAAAGTACATAAGTACTATGTCGGCGATGATGGGCCGGAAAAAAAGGATCCAGCGTGTGCCGTCCATATGCGCTCTGCAGCTCAAACAGCCGATATCAGCGGGCCCTTGAATGACCTACGCAATCGGGCCAATTACCTCGGAAAAAATATCCGAGGACTCGAATGCAAGATGCTCACCCTGGACCACTCCTTTGATGTCTTCTGCGACAAGTTCAATCGCAGCTTGATCACTAAGGAGCGAGTGGAGCGGGACATGGTGGTGCTTGCAATGATGCGCGATGGGATAGGTCGCCGGCTTAGCCAGATGGAAGTGGAATTCCGCAAGGCCAAGGAGCATTTGTTAAATCGGGGCAGAAATTCAGAATTACAGAGCCAGCTGGGGTCTCCCGCCCACAATCATCCAGAAGATGCATGACAAGATCGATCCGTATTGTTTACTCTAGCCAACCAGTCGATTAAACATATGTTAGAGAATGTTACTAACTTATATTTTGGAATACATCTTTATTTGAATCAAAAGTATAATAACCATGAATTTCTTTGTTTCGGGTATACAATTGATTACTTTATACTGATCTGTAACATTTTTAAAATTAAAAAAAAAGTAAAAGAGGTTTTACGTATCTTGCTTTCTAGATATTGGGTGTTGGACAGGCAGAGCCATCCTTTGAAATACAGGAGTGGTCAAAAGTATTGTGACAGATTTGAATGTTAACTTTACTCATGTTTTGAACTTATAATATAAGCTTTTGGCACCTATAGAAAGATCACTTGAATTCCGTTTAAATGACACAAAAATGTTCTTAACCCATTAAGCACCCTTTTGAAAAGTAAGAAAATTTTGTAAAAGTCAAATTTTCAACTTTTTTCCTGGGGCTTAAAACAAAAATGTTTTGATGCAAAGTTTTTCCCCAAGCAAAATTAATAATAACTGCAAAAAAAAAACATTTCAAAATATTTTTTCTTGTATTTTTTATGATTTTTTTTTTAAATAGCTAAAAATGACAATTTTAGCCGCTTTTTCCTCCTTTTCATACAAAATTTTACTGAGATCTTTCCATTCAAAACATCACGCCTTCTCTAATGTCCCTAAACACCAATCAAGATTTTATAAAAGCGTTAATGGTATTTGGTTTTTCTCTCTTGATATACCCGTTACTCGTAGAATAAAAGGGTATATTGTATTAGTTCAAAAGTATGTAAGAGCTAGAAGGAAGTATTTCCGACCCAATAAATATATATATTCTTGATCAGGGTCTGTCTGTCTGTCCGTCCGGATGAACGGAGAGGTTTCTGTACCACAAAAGCTAGAAAGTTGGGATTACCCACACATATTTTGGGCTTCCTACGCAGCGCAAGTTTGTTTCATCGATGTAGCCCCTAACGGAAACAATCGCCATAAACGAATTTAAAATGTGTCTGGCGGCAACATCTTTTAAGATTTTAAAAATGTATGAATTATTAATACCTGTCAAAATGTAAAAGACATTTTTCAAATCGAGCAATTCATTAAAAAATTATGCGCATTCAAAGTTTTATATCTCCATCTCCCTCGCACTTCTTAGTGAGTGACGGGTATCAGATAGTCAAGACACCCACCCGACTGTAGTGTTCTCTTTTGTTTTTAGATTAAGTCGGCCATGACAAAACCACTATCTAATATTTGTCCGGAGTATATACTACGTACATATGGAGCTCAAAAATTGTACATATTTTTAGTAAATTCTGGCTTAGGAGGCGCTGTCCGTCAGGTGGCCTTCCGTGATACCTTCGTGGTCCTTTATGGGTTTAGCGCCAATGCGCTAAGCTCACGCCGTGCAATTGTCATTCGAAATGAGGCACAGGCAAACCCACAATTTTGTGCGGGACATCCTGGTTCCGGAGGATCCTCCATCGCTAACACCAAAGTTTTACATCTTGCCTGAGGGAAATAGGCAGCAATTCGAGGATGTACAGCGAGGAGTTTGCCAATACCGACGCCATTTTAAGGCAGCTGAGTCGGGGAGCTCCCCTGTCTGCGCGGAGCGAATCGATCACCTGGCTGACGCCGTGCAACTCTCTGCCCATTTGGAGTCGCCGGCTATGTCGCAATGGACAGGGCAGCCTTCGGCACTCCGGCGTTACTCAGTGCCGGAACTTCGACGTGGAGGTGGCAGACAGGCTGTGGTCGCTGTGGGGCGGTCTGCATCCGCGGGCTCCTTGGTTCGACGGGAAAGTGCGAGGTCGCCAGACGCTGGGATGCTGCATGGTGGCCTGCTGTGTGGCCAGCACATTCCGCCGCCTTGGCGAGTGGAGCGGGAAGCTGCTCGATGCGATCGTGGTTAACGGGGACCGCTACTACCGCGCCAGCGTGGAACAGAGCGAGCGTTGGGACCAACAACTGAAGGTGGATGATATGTGCTGCGAGTGCGAGTTTCAGGACCTTCGATTCCAGGTGCAAATGGAGCTCGTGGCCTTCGGACACTTGTACAGCGCACCAGCCAGCACCGCCATGAGTCTGCTGGAGAGCCTTAACTACTTCTTTACTCGGTACCAATGGGGTATCCTGGAGTGCCAGGAACGGCACTTTGCCTTCGGGCACAGCTCTAGCCGTGATGGAGGCTACTTCCTCTTCGACTGCTCTGCGTGGGACAAGCCCGTTTTCCCGGACGACATGGGCGCTGCCTACGTGCTGCTGGCGAAGCAGCTGCAGATGCTGCTCTACTGCGCTGTGGTCACGCTTAATGTGCGGCGTCGAAATGTCGAGTTCCGGATCTACAACGTGGACATGACCCGCATGTCCAGCGATCCCTGAAATCGCTCCAACGATCTCCCAGGGAAATCTTTATCAACCTAAGCTTCTTATCAGTTTTGCTGTATGACGGACAAATAAATTGATGATGTGACCAAAATCGATCTAGCCATATCAGTCTGTCCGCCCGTCCGACTGTCCGTTTCTACGCAAACTAGTTTCTCAGTTTTTGAGCTTTCGGGATAAAACTTTCTCAAAAGGCTTCTTTCTATTGCAGGTAGTATATATGTAAGCCAGATCCAGCTGTCATAGTTGTTTTTTGATCCTATGCTTGGGAACGATCGGAAAATGGAAAATTAATAGGAAACAACTTAGAGCTTTATTGGTTTTTATTATATTATCTTCTACTCTGGAATCTAACAATAATCGGACCGTGAATGTCACAGTATTACGAAATTTAACATTTTGTAATTTGCAATTCAATAAAAAGAGAAAAGGTCGGATTGAAAATTATATACTGTGGAAGTCAGTGTAAGTTTTGAATCGCACGGAGTGTTAGGAAAGGTAGACAACTACATACTACGATAGTTTGATCGAAGTTAGTGATTTACCAAAAAGCATTCACCTACTTAGGCCTTTCTGAATTAGATAGGGTCAAGACAAATTTTTTGAAAGTATTATTAAAATTGATGTTTTATGTAGTTAAATAGTTACATTTTAAAGAGGGTATTTGTATTAAATTATTCTCCCATTTTGATAAAACGCAATGGTATTAAATATGTGGCTCTTTAAAGTGTGCAATTGTAATCAGTGTCTGGCATAAAGTTTAGAAGTGGATCTCCTGCTACTCAAGAGATTTCCCCACAACACACTATGTGGCCAAGCAACCAACTGACTCAGAAAACCAGTTCCGTTTCAAAACCAAAACAAAAGATTTTGTTGTTCCCTTTTTAACAGTCGCGAAAAGTTAAAAATAAAACACAAATAATAAATAAAAGTAAAACCTGTCCACTACGCAAATATGCAAAACATTGCACGGCAACTGTGAATCAGGCTGAGAAGTACGAGAAGTACGAGAACCCAAATAAACATAAACAAGCAAATAAAGCAAGAAGCGCCCGAACAGCGAGGCGGAATAAAACAAAACTGCATTCCGAAAACTCAGTCAAATGCAAAAAAGCCAGTGAGGCAGCTCGCAGCACGAGACAACTCAGAACTTCTAAAAAGGGCAGCAAAACGAAGAGAAAGAGTGGGCAAAATCGACCAAAAAGAAATCCGGTTTCGTTTTCAGCCAGAACGAGGGCCCGGGAACGTCCCTTTGTTGTGCAGCCTTACGTACTTATTGCTTCGTTTTGGTTTTCCGCCTGCGAGTAGATGCATAAAAGTGGGAGTGGGAGTCGAAGCTAACCGAAACGAAAACCCTGCCAGGCCAGGATGGATTGCCCGGGAGACGAACTTGAAATTTAGATTTCGAGAGCAGCCGCCAGCGATGCAGGCGTCGCAGTCGCAGCGTTCAACGCGTGCCGGCAGCGGAGAGCTCTCTCCAGCTTCAGGTATGCGCCCTGCACTAGTGTTGGAGAGAGACGTGCTCCCCACTGCACACGAACACTGCTGCAATTTTTGGAGGGTTGAGTGGAGCTCCGCTCTCTTTTTCTCTGCGAGAGGAGTGAAGGCATTAAGAGTTTTATTGATTTTCGTTGCACTTCAGGCACGCCAAAATCGCATGCGATTTCCCCCAGTCCGATGGGCAATACTTAAAAATAGAATTCGTGGCTGCAAACTGCTCCTTGGCCGCCGGGAAAGTTTCTTCAAAGATAACCAGTGACAAATGCATCCGCCAATTTGAAAGAAGATTGGCGTTTGAGGCAAGACATTGCGTTATCAAAATGAACCAACTGTGTGCCGGCCGAAGATATAACTTCAAACTGCTAGCAGACCTAACCCAAGCCCAAAGATAACCAGTGGCCGCAGTTCGAGGTCACTGCATCATCGAGTACCTCTCGCCGCTCTTTACTGAATATCTAAAAAAACTAGCAAACCCAAAGCCGAAAATAAAGTAAATCGAAATGGCCAAAAAGTGAAATCCGTAAAACCGGACAAAAGCGAATGTCGAGCAACAAAAAGCTACATATTTCAGTTGGCGCACTGTTTTCTGCTGCCTTGGTTGGTGGGGGTGGTGGACCTGGGCATCGGCTGGTAGAGGGAGGTGTAAGCGAGAAAGAGATAGAGCGGGACTGAAAAGGCGCGACGTCAAAAACCAAATGCCACAAACTACAGATGAGGCCGGAGAGGAACTATAAGAAATCACGTTTAATGGTTTTCAGCAAGGATTTCGCAAATTCCTCGCCAGCCCTGTAAATTTGGATGTGATGGACTCATGAAAATCCTCTATTTCCCAAAATCGGTACAGAGGAAATTAAGTTGACGATGAACATTATATTGCTTTACACACAAAAAAAAACTTTGTAAAATCAACTGTAATAATTGTCAAACAGGCCCCAACCAGCAAAATTGTCAATTCTACTAAGTAAATAGTCATTTCACAACAACAAAATACACACAATTAGCAAAGACACAAACCCAAAGCAAAAACAAAATACACGTAACCATTTTAATAGTTATGTAACTATCTTTGTTGGTCAATTTTACCAAGTAAATTTTTTTTGTTTGTAGACAATAACTTTATGGTCTTTACGTTAAACGCACTTTTCTGCTGATAGCTTTGGCAAAAGAATCAGAATATCCAGGGAGTCGGTCCCACACAATTTTTAAGTTCAAAATAAAAGAAAACAAGAGAGAACGCTATAGTCGGGTTGGTGTCCCGACTATCTAATACCCGTCACTCAGCTAAAGGGTTGGTGTCCCGACTAATAATCGTAACTCAGCTAAAGGGAGTGCGAGGGAGATAGATATATAAATTTTGATAATTTCGGTTTTGAGGCGTGTATTTTTAACGAAGCCATTTATGCCAGCATTTTTGCATTTTTTCTAACTTTTTCAACTTTGACGAAATGTAGCTTTTAAACTAATGAATGGAACTCAATGCAGTGTATAAGAAAGTTGGAGGGCATTCTATTACCTGTAAAATGAGTCATTTATGGTTGAAATCGGTTAACCACAACTCAAGTTAGAAATTAAAAAAATGTCAAAAACGTTTTTTACACTTTAAAAAAAATTTTATCCATAAAACAATTTTAAGTGCCATTTTCTTAATCAGGAAGTCGTACCTTACCGGAAAACAATGGTTTTATTCATGGTATATTTCATCGATTTTTTTTTGTAAACTGGTGGTATGTAACAGGGAGAAGAAACCGTTTTCGACCCCATAAGTATATATATTTTTGATCAGGATCACTAGCCGAATCGATCTAGCCATGTCCGTCTGTCTGCCCGTCTGTCCGTCCCTATAAACGCTGAGATTTTGGAAACTACAACTGCTTCCTAGGCAGCGCAAGTTTGTTTTAGCCGAAGGCCAACGATTTTGAAAAAAATTCAGTTTTATTGTGTTTATCAAAATGTCTATCTCAGATCGGACCATTCGTTAAAAAGTTATGCACGGTCAAAGTTTTATATATCCATCTCCCTCGCACTCCCTTTAGCTGAGTTACGGGTATCTGATAGTCGGGGCATTAGATTATAGCATTCTCTCTTTTTTCTCGGGCTATGCAAGAGCGTATCCGAACCTCAAAAAATATACACACAAAAAAATTTGCTTGGTAAAATTGACCAACAAAGATAGTTACGTAACTATTAAAATCAGGGACCGTAAATAATCATTATTTGAGATTTTTATTTTAAAAGGCCTACTGAGGTTTTTACAAGTTTTAATCAACAATTTAAGTGGTTTTTATGCACTTTATAGACATGAACAAATAACAGTTAATTTGCTTTCCAGATTTGTTGAAATGCATATACTTTGTGGACAAGAGTAAAAATAACGTCATTTTTGACGTTTAAAACAAAATATCACAGTAGTCTTTTTAAAATAAAAATCTTAAATAATGATTATTTACGGTCCCTGATTAAAATAGTTACGTGTATTTTGTTTTTGCTTTGGGGTTGTGTCTTTGCTAATTGTGTGTATTTTGTTGTTGTGAAATGACTATTTACTTAGTAGAATTGACAATTTTGCTGGTTGGGGCCTGTTTGACAATTATTACAGTTGATTTTACTAAGTTTTTTTTTGTGTGTGGACAAGAGTAAAAATAACGTCATTTTTGACGTTTAAAACAAAATATCACAGTAGTCTTTTTAAAATAAAAATCTCAAATAATGATTATTTACGGTCCCTGATTAAAATAGTTACGTGTATTTTGTTTTTGCTTTGGGGTTGTGTCTTTGCTAATTGTGTGTATTTTGTTGTTGTGAAATGACTATTTACTTAGTAGAATTGACAATTTTGCTGGTTGGGGCCTGTTTGACAATTATTACAGTTGATTTTACTAAGTTTTTTTTTGTGTGTACATATATTGATAAGTCTGTCCGTCCATACACACAAAAAAATGTGCTTGGTAAAATTGACCAACAAAGATAGTTACGTAACTATTAAAATAGTTACGTGTATTTTGTTTTTGCTTTGGGTTTGTGTCTTCGCTAATTGTGTGAATTTTGTTGTTGTGAAATGACTATTTACTTAGTAGAATTGACAGTTTTGCTGGTTGGGGCCTGTTTGACAATTATTACAGTTGATTTTACCAAGTTTTTTTTTTGTGTGTATGAACGCCGAGATCTCGGAAATTACCAAAGGTAAATGGTTGAAATCTCTTGTGCGGATTGTTTGCTAGTTTGTTTGTTGTCGCAGTGGCAAGTCCATTCTAAAGCCCACAAACCGCAGCTTCTGGCGCCGACGATTTTTCGCAGTGTTAATTTTTTTCCATCGGTTGCCTAGAGCTTAGCGCTTAATTAGAAGCGGAAATGCCTGCAAAATTGTTATTGATCAGCTGTCTATAACGAATTGACAAGTTAGCAACTGGAGGGGTTTTTGGCGACAACATTGCTGGGTAATTAAAATTAATTTTACGAAAAAATCTCAGGTCTCATCGAATAGTGAGCAGCGGTAACCAGCTCCGAGAGATGACTCCCAGCGAGTTAGCTTTTGAAGTTGTGGCCGAGGTTTCTACTCGGTCAGTTGGCGGCAGAGAAATCTAGTTTTCCCAGTTC